ATATTTGCAGGTTATGAGAGTACTCCAAGACCTTAGTTTGTCCTGTTTTTACATTCGAGATTTGCAGTTAATGGGATTGGTGTATTGAATATGAAAATGGCTGCTAATTGTATTTTCTATTCCACATTTTTCGAACCGACTGTTTTTTTATATGAAATGTTTTTTTGTTCTATGTTGTTTTGCACACTACTTGCTACGCAAAATAAGGCTGTCAGAATACTCAGACGTTGTTTATCGGAACATTGTACTCTGGAAATATTTTATTGCGCGTGTTCATGGGGCCGGAACATGTATTATAACAGTTTTATTACAACATTCTTTTGCATTTAGGTTGTCAATAACAATGTTTCACACTTTACCTCTTTTCCTACGAAAGATCACAAAGTGATCATCGCGAAACGAATCGGATTTCGTGTTTTTCTGTAATAGAATTCATTATTGTCACTGTTTTATAACCTAACACCTGACATAAGATAAATCGTTACTTAAGACAGACCAGAAAAACGCTACTCCAATCATTTGGGGTAAAATTGGGCGTATGGATATGAGTGGAGCAGTTCTCCGATTCGCCGCTGTGGGCGCTGTGGTAGTGCTGCTAAACAGCAAATATGTATATTACTGGTTATTATTTAAAACTAGTGCGTTAAATATGATTGGTTTGTTTGACAAATATCCGATACCAAGGAAACGTTGTGTTTTGACATAACTGACATTATCTAGCTAAACCTATGGTTACCTTTATGGGGATCAACGCTACAACTCAATTTTTCATCTCTAGTAGGTCACTGAATTGACACCATAACCCATCTGACTATTGCAACCAAACGTTTAACAGTCTAAAAGTAGTGTATATTGACTGATATTAATCGTAGTAGTGAACTGCATAGCATTACATGATTTGGCGCCCTCTATGTTTTTATGAATTTACCTCTTGAGGGCAGTATATTAATTGTGTTCGGCAAAAACATAAAAAATTAGAGACTGACAAATGTTTACTCACAAATTCCGAGATAAATAATGGTTTTTAAAGCGAGGGAGTCGTCACCTACGCATGCGTCAGATGGCCATGCCGTGTCGTTGTTTACAAACAAGCGTCTACCCATGAGACTTTGCGTTTTTAGCGTGTGTTGTTATCGTTGCTTGGGACTCAATTCCCGCGCGTGCGTGCGTGAGCAGTTTAACTCCATTCACATTAAATTCCTTCCTGAGATTGTTTCATCATTATTGTAATAACTAAATTACACCCTCGGTAATGATATGTAGTATCTCTATTTGTAATTTGAGATGAATCAAGACAACAAAATTTTACAAAAGCCAC